ATTAAATTCTGTGTACCAGAAGGACAGTATCAACAGAGTAAAAAAGGCAGCCCACAGAAGGGGAGAAAGTTTTTGCAAATCACATGTTTGATAAGGGATTAATATCAGAATATACAGATAACTCCTAAAACTCAACAACAACAAAAACTCAATTCATAAATGAGCAAAGGACTTGAAAAGACATTTCTCCAAAGAAGATTTATATTTGGCCAATAAGCACTTGAAAAGATGTTCAACATCACTAATAATTAAGGAAATGCATTTCAAAACTACAATGAGATGTACTACCTCATACACTTTAGGATGGGTACTATTTAAAAGCAAAATAACAAGTCGGCAAGGATGTGAAGAAACTGGAACTGTGTGTGCTGTTAGTGGGAATATAATGTTACATCAACTACAGGAAACAGTATGGTGGTTCCTCAGTGGAATTGGGATTACCATATGATCCAGTAATTCTACTTCTAGGTATATATCCAAAATAATTGAAAAGAGTCTTGAAAAAATGTTTGCACACCCATGTCCATAGCAGCATTATTCACAGTAGCCAAGAAGTACAAGTAATCCAAGTGTCCATAAACTGATAAATGGATAAGTAAAACGTGGTGTGTGCATACTGTAAAATATTTTTTAGTCTTGAAAAGAAAAGAAATTCTGACATAGACTACACCATGGATGAAACTTGAGGTCATTATGCTTAAGTGAAATAGACCAGTCACAAAAAAAGACATACTGTATGATTCCACTTCTGTAAGATACTTACAGTAGCTAAAATCATAGACCCAGAAAGTAGAATGGTGGTTGCCCAGGCCTGGTGGGGAGAGAGGGATAGAGAGTTATTGTTAAATGGGCATGGGAGTTTCAGTTTTACAAGATGAGGAGTTACGGAAATGAATGCTAGCAGTGGTAGCACAACATTATGAATATATTTAATACCACTTAACTGTACACTGAAAAATGGTTAAGATGGTAAAGTTTATGTTACATGTTTTTTAGCACAATTAAAAAAAATGGAAAAAGAGTGTGAGCTTCTACACTCTGGGCTAATAGAAAACACCAGGTGGTCTCAGGTCTCCTAGCAAATAGAGCACAGTACCACAAGTTTATCTTCTCCCAACTCCTGAGTTCTAACGTATTCTTCATTAGATGGTTCTCCTTCATCTCTCTGGTTAAAGTTTTGCATTTTTATTGTTTTTTCCTTTTCTGACAATGGATATGTTTATAAGAGAATAGCAGAGAAAGCAGAAGTACTGGTTTAACTTGCTTCAAAGCATATTTGTGTTGAGTAACTTGAGCAGATAAATTTGAACTTTGATGTCAAAGGTCATTTTCATTCTGAAGGTAATTACAGACAATCTGTATCTAAAACTAAGTTAAGGAAAAAAAAAGTCAAAGCATTTATATAACAGAAATTTTGTCTTTTTTTCCTTTTTTTTTTTCGGTTTGGTGGCAGCTGTTATTGCTAATAAAAATTGCTAATAAAAAGATAGTCGTGGAATAAGAAATTTTTTTACTTAAGATTTCTACTTTTAATACTCCAATTTCTTATATTAATGCTAGATATTTTCCTTATATACGGCCACGTTGGGGTTTTTAGGACACCAGTACATTATTTTCAAAGCCTCAAATTGACATGGACTAATGAAACTGTTATTAAGTTCCATTTCTATCTTTAGAGAAAGGTTTTGCTTGGACAATTATCCCAGTACATCACAATAATTGTTAGCAGAAATGAGGTATTGTAATGCATTTGTAAACTGTTGCTGGATTTGTGGGGCCATTGGAAATCCTATTTTCAGGGGCTTAATTATTCTAATACATGTGGAGAGTAGGTAGCTTTATTGGATGATATATATGCATGTATATTCATAATTATGACATTTCTATTCTTTTCTAATATTAATATGTTATATAATAATGCTGTTATATTTGAAAAAAATTTAAAAATTCCAGTAGCTTCGTTCAGAAATACTAATTTTTTAGAATAACTAGGTAACTTTCCTAAAATCGTATTTTACCTATGCAGACTATTGATTCGTTGTCAAAATTCAGCTCTGTCTAGAATAAGACCCTTGATGGTGAGTCCAATTCACAATCTGGTAACCTGTTATAAATTAGAATATTTTCTGGGGAAGGATAGTATTCAGCTTCTGAAATACAATATGTAACTGCTCAAAGATACTTTATGGCCCATCACTTAGAACACAGGGTTTAGAGTCAGACAAACAAATGAGTTAAAATTTCAAGTGAACATCATGTAACTTAGGGTAAATTACTTAGCATTACAAAGCCTGTTTGTTTCATCAACCGTAAAATACAAAGAAACACAGGTTTTAACCACGTTTAAGTTCTCACCCATCTTGGCTTTGTCTCTGTCCTCTTTAGTGAATCTCTCTTGGGCTGTTATATCTTAGTCCCTTCATCTGTAAAATGTGTTTTATTGCATTTCATTTTATTGCGCTTCACATATATTACCGTTTGTGGTTTTGTTGTTGTTGTTGTTGTTTTGAATAAATGAAGGTTTGTGGCAACCCTGTGTCAAGCAAGTCTTTAGGTGCCATTTTCCCAACAGCATTTGCTCACTTCTTGTCTCTGTGTCACATTTTGGTAACTCTCACAATATCTTAAACTTTTTAAATTTATTATGGTGATCTGTGATCGGTGATCTTTGATGTTATTATTATAATTGTTTTGGGCTCCATGAACCATGCCCATGTAAGACAGCAAACTTAATTGGTAAATGTTGTGTATGTTCTGACTGCTCCACAGACAGGCCATTCTTTCTTCCTCTCCTTGGGTCTCCCTGTTGCCTAAGACACAACAGTATCAAAATTAGGTCAATTAAAACCCTGCAATGGCCTCTGAGTTTTCAAGTGAAAGTAAGAGTCACATGTCTCCCATTTTGAAAGCTAAAAATGATTAAGCTCAGTAAGGAATACATGTTGAAGGCAGAGACAGGGCAAAAGCTAGACCTCTTGTGCCAAACAAGTCAGCCAAGTTGTGAATGCAAAGGAAAAATTCTTGAAGGAAATTAAAAGTGCTACTCCAGTGAACATACAAGTGATAAGAAAGCAAAATAGCCTTATTGCTGATATGGAGAAAGTTTTAGTGGTTTGGACTAAAGATCAAACCAGCTACAACATTTCCTTAAGCCACAGCCTAATCCAGAGCAAGGCCTAACTCTCTTCAGTTCTACATATACTGAGAGATGATGACGGTGCAAAAGGAAAGTCTGAAGCTAGCAGAGGTTGGTTCATGATATGTAAAGAAAAAACTGTACATAACATAAAAGTGTAAGGTAAAGCAGCAAATCTTGATACAGAAGCTACAGCAAGTTATCCAGAAGATCTAGCTAAGATAATTAATGAAGGTGGTTAAGATAATTAATGAAGGTGGTTATACTAAACAAAAGGTTTCATTGTTGATGAAACAGCCTTTTATTGGAAGAAGTTGCCGTCTCAGACTTACATAGCTAGAGAGAAGTCAATGCCAGGCCTCAAAGCTTCAAAGGACAGGCTGGCTCACTCCTTAGGAGCTAATGCAGCTGGTGACTTCACCAATAGTCATTTACCATTATAAAAATCCTAGGGGCCTTAAGAATTAGCTAAATGCACTCTGCCTGTGCTCTATAAATGGAACAACAAAGCCTAGATGACAGCACATCTGTTTACAACACAATTTACTGAATTTTATTTTTAACCCCACTGTTGAGGCCTACTCTTTGGAAAAAAAGATTCCTTTCAAATACTATTCATTGACAATGCACCTGGTCACCCAAGAGCTCTGATGGCAGAGATTAATGTTGTTTTCATGCCTGCAAACACAACAACTATTCAGCAGCCCATGGATCAAGAGGAATTTCAACTTCCCAGTCTTATTATTTTAAGAAATGCATTTCAGGGGTGCCTGGGTGGCTCAGTCAGTTAAGTGTCCTACTCTTGATTTTGGGTTAGGTCATTATCTCAAGAGTCTGGAGATCGAGCCCTGAGTTGGGCTCCGTGGTGGGCATGGAGCCTGCTTACAATTCCTTCTCTCTGCCCTTGCCTCATGCGCACACGCTCTCTCTTAAAAAAAAATAAAAAATAAATAAAAAATATATTTCATAAAGCGGTAGCTGCCATAGGTAGCGATTCCTCTGATGGATTTGGACAAAGTAAATTGAAAACCTTCTGGGAAGAATTTAGCATTCTAAATGGCATTAAGAGCATTCATGATTCATGGGGATGGTCAAAATACCAACATTAACAGGAGTTTGGAAGAAGTGTTTTCCATCCCTCATGGAGGACTTTGAGAGGTTCAAGGCTTCAGTGGAGGAAGTAACTGCAGATATGGTGGAAATAGCAAGAGAACTGGAATTAGAAATGGAGTCTGAAGATGGGGCTGAATTGCTGCAATCTCATGATAAAACTAATGGATGAGGAGTTGCTTCTTATGGATGAGCAGAAAAGGTGGTTTCTTGAGATGGAATCTACTCTGGTGAAGATTGTTGAAATGACAACAAAGGATTTAGAATATGACATAAAGTTAGCTGATAGAGCAGCAGCAGAGTTTGAAAGGATTGACTCCAGTTTTGAAAGGAGTTCTGTGGGTAAATGCTATCAAACCCATCACATGCTGCAGAGAAATTATTTATGAAAGGGAGAGTCAATTGATGTGGTGAACTTCACTGTTGTCTTATTTTAAGAAATTGTCACAGCCACCCCAACCTTCAGCACCCACCACCCTGACCAGTCAGCAGCCATCAACATCAAGGCAAGACCCTCCACTAGCAAAGATTATGACTCATTGAAAGCTTTTATGATGGTTCGCGTTTTTTTAGCAATAAGGTGTTTTTTAATTAAGGTATGTACATTGTTTTTTAGACATAATGCTGTTGCATACTTAATAGACTACATTGTAATCTACTAAGCATATTAATCTATTAAGCAGTGTACTGAAACTTATATGCACTGGGAAACTAAAAAATTATTTTACTTGTTGTGATACTTGCTTTATTGCAGTGTTCTGGAACCTAACCTGCAATATCTCCAAGGTATGCCTGTGTACTCTGTACCCGCTACTCAATTTCTTTGGGGTGTTTGCCTGGAAGTATACTCTTATTTGAAGCATTGTGAGCAAATTGTATCATAGATTATTTCAACTTTGTTATTTAAAAAAATGGATAGCAAAGTTACCTTCTCTGTAGTGAGAATACTACTTGTTTTACATTACTGGAAGAGTCCTGACCACCGTAGGCATTTCTCTTTTGTGTTAGAGCTATCACAGAGTACTTAACCATTTGACCGTGTAATTTAAGTCTTGGTCTATCAAGCAGTAAACAGATGGAACATTTCTAACAGCAGTAATTAAACTGTAAATCTATTTTAAAGAGTTGGCCAATATACAGCATCACAGTCCATATTCTGTTGTCTCAGTCATGTTCATTTTTATTTGGATTATGATTTCAGAATACCCAGATATGGGAAGGAAAACAAAGTTGTCTATTATTTTTTAAAATTGCATAATTGGGGTGCCTGGGTGGCTCAGTCGGTTAAGTGTCCGACTCTTGATTTCGGCTCAGGTCATGATCTCAGGGTTGTGGGATCGAGCCCCGTGTCGGGCTCCACACTCAGCAGGGAGTCTGCTTGTCCCTCACCCTGGTCATGCCCACCCCCCAAATGAATAAATAAAATCTTAAAAAAAAATAAAATTGCATACCTAACAATATTCGTTCATTCAACAAATCTTTATTGAATGCCTGTTGTGAACCAGACACATTTCTAGGCACTGGGGATCCAGCAGTGACCAGAAGCAAAATCCCAATCCTCATGGAGCTTAGATTCTAGTGGATTGGAGACAGATAATAAGCTAAATATGTATAATACCAAGTGTGGTAAATGCTATGAAGAATAAAGCTGAGTAAAGACCTGGAGAATGTTGGGGTGAGACATTTTTAGATAAGATGGTCAGGGTAAGAAGGCCTCTTTGATAAATTAACACTTAAGCAGTGACCTGAATAAATAAGGGAGCGATCCAAATGGATATCTGGGGAAACAGTGCCAGGCAGAGGGCATGGCAAGTGCAGATGCCTGATTTGGGAGCATGCTTAGTTGTCTGTTGTATTCATTCCACCTTGAAGCTTTCCTTAACACCTTAAAAAATTAAGGGAGAGTTATAGGCCTCCTTCTCTGTGTGTCACAGCATATTGTATGTAACTTTTTTATAGTTCTTATCTCAGCATTATTGTTTTTATGTGCATATTTCCCAATAACCTGGCCTTTGGGGACAGGAATAGTGCCTTACCAGTCACATAGGAGCTGAATAGATGCTGATCAAACCAGTCAGTCAGTGTGATTATCTATTGCACAACTACTTTAGTGTTTACTTGGTGCCAAAGTATTATAAGAAATATAAATTGTTAGATATGTAAGTAAATAAAAGAAAATAATGATCAAGTAAGCCTTGGTCTACATAATTCAGAGGAAAGAAGTTTCTTTCAATGAAATCTTTTATGAATTTATTTAAATGTTCTTAACTGAAATATGACCTTTGTAGTTTAAAAACTCATGGTGATATCCATGATTTAATGTTTTGAATGACTTGGTTACTTGAAATATTCAGTTAGAAAAGTGAATTTGAAAAGTAAAGTATCTACACCACAAGAGTTTTTTGAATTGCAAATCATTTTAGAAAAGAATAATTTGCTTTCCCAAAGGATAACTAAGTTATATTTTGTTTTCCCTCAATTTTAACCATTTCTGCAAAGAAATTATTCCACAGTTTCTTTATGATACTTGTGTTATTTTCTGTTTTAGATCTCTAAAGGTACTAAAATCAATTTTTATTGGATTATGTTTCTAATGAAAGAAATCTTTAGGGTCTACAGTAGATGAGTTTTCAAGGGTTTTGAATTTATTGATTTTTTTTAAACTTTTTTTTTTTAACTAGAAAGGTTAATCTGGTTTATAGATGTGGCATAAGTTTTAAAGTAAGTAGGAAGCTTACCACCACTCAGCAGAAAAGTTTGGTCTGTTAAAGGTCCTGTTGTTATTGTACTAGCAAAATGTCAGTACAGTCTACTTTCTGAAATTTTAAAGTTTCTGGTTAGTTTTCTATAATTTGAGCAACATTATAATAAAATTATCATGTTTACCTTTAGATAAACCTATTTGGTAGTTAATAGTGCATGTCAGTACTCAGTTTTCCTTTTTTTTTCCATCCTCCTTTCTCCCGTATTTTGAAAACTAAATACCTATAGACATTTTTAAACTTAAAATTTACCTTTCCTTTAATATTTTAACAAAAGTGACTTTGACCTAACTTTCTCTTTTAATGATTTTTAAAAACCCAGTAAATATGGGAAATGAGAAAATAAAGACCTCTGTGTGCATTGTTTTACTAAAGTGAGATCATTCTATGTGTGTTTTGTTCCTCCTTTTTTCAATTAGCGGTCTCTCTATGTCCTTCTATCTTCAAATGCATAGTCAGATTTCCCAGTGGAGGACCAAGTCTCACATCTGGTTGTCATATGCCCTAATAAGTCTCTTTGGGAAAAAAAATCTGACCTAGTCCCCTTCTTCTTTTCATACCACTGACTTTTTGAGGGGACAGGGCCAGCTCTCCTGCAGGATGTCTTGCCTTCTAGATGTGTCTGGTTGAGGGATACCTAGGTGGCTCAGTCAGTTAAGCGGCCAGCTCTTGGTTTTGGCTCAGGTCATGATCTCAGGGTCCTGTGATGGAGCTCTGCATCCAGCTCCGTGCTCAGCGGGAGTCTGCTTGAGGATTGATTCTCTCTCCCTTTCCTTCTGCCCCTCCCCCCACTCACATGCAGGCTTGCTCACTCCTCTCTCTCAAATAAATAAATCTTAAAAAAGAAAAAAGATGTGTCTGGTTGCATCTGCATTTAACTTGTTCCTCTATCTCTTGTATTTTTTATTAATTAAAAGTCAAATTGTAATGCCTCAGGGATCCATATTAAACATTTTTGGCTGGGATATATGATAGGTTATTTACTTTTTATTTTAACTCATCAAAAAAAAAAAACAGTATCTGGATGAGTCACCATTAATGAGACTGTATTTGAGCACTGAATTAGGGTAATGAATCTGATCCCTTCGTTGTAGAGTTTCAGCTTTTTTATCTTGCTACTAGAAAATAATGTATTTGGTGTTACTTTGCACAGTATGAATCTCAAGGTCCGTATCAAACATATACCTGAATATAATACTAATGCTAATTTTCTGATATTTTTAGAATTTTTCTTCTACATCATTAGCCACCCTTTTTCTGTAACAGAATTCTTTATCATCTGGGGCTATTGGTTTGTTCTCTTGCAAAGGCCAGATAGATCAATAATTTCACTTAGTTACCGGTTTTAACCAGCTCAGTCAGAAGATGACATAAGGTTGGTTTTTGTTTTGTTTTGATTTGTTTTTCTGGCTTTCTCTTTTTTGAATATCATTATAGACTCATGGATTTTTATTGTTTCAGTGTGTTTCAGTCAACATCAGGGATAATTCTTGCAACTTTGACTTACGGGGAAAAGGATCTTTCAGGTGGATTCTTGTGTCTTTTTGCTATGATAACTATGTTTTTAATTATGGAAATGTTCAAACAAACAAAAGTATAGAGAATAATATAGTGGACCTTCAACATATCTTTCAGCTTCAGCAATAACCAGTGTTTCCAATCTCATTTTCTCTATATCCTACTGCTTTTTTGATCCACTGGATTATGATCTCATCGATATTTGAAAATTTTCTTTATTTTCTGGCGTAACAAGGCCCTAGACTTGAAATCCATTTCTCTAAGAAGCCATCGTTGCTTTTAGGAAGGAGTGGTATCAGATAACAAAATCTGGGCATAAAGGTTAATGAAAGTTTTTTATTTTCATTTTTCTTTACTTTCCCATCATGTGTCTCATCATAATGGTAGTCTAGTTCCATAAGCAGGTTTACTCTCATTTGAGTCATGGAGGAAGGGCACTTCTCAAAGATGAGACAAAATCTTTATATTTCTATTTTAATTGATCTAAATGTTAGTTATAGCTGACAAATGATTCAAATGTTAGCACATAAGTGTTTTTAAGGAATGCTTAAAAGAAGGATTGCTTTTTTTTTTTAATAAACACCGTTTAGTGTTATCGGTTTGCCTGTACTACAATATAAGGAAATCCTTTATAAATGTATGACTTCTGAAGGTTTCCTTGTACCATGCTTTGGTTTTTCTAGTATTCAAAACATTTTCTCATAGTCATAATGCAAATGATAAAAACTGGATTCTGGCTCTTAAATCTGTGTAAGATTTCCAAGATGGACCAAACCCTGTCTTTGCCTTTTTCCCTCGTGATGCCCTACTGAAATAAAGTGTATAGAAATAAGAAATGAAGAAACCAATAACAATAAGTAGAAAGAGTGATAACTGAACAGATTTCTGGATCTCTGTTCAAGTACTAGAAGGCACAGCTCTACCCTCTCATCTCCCTATACTGTTCTCATCCCTGCACTTGGACTATTGATAGCAGGCATGAACCCGAAGCAAAACATCAGATTTCCTGTAGAGAAACTGGGAAAAGCTAAGGCTTCTAGAGTACAAGTTATCTCTCCAGAACAAAAGAAAAACTCCATCATTCTGGCATTTAGAGGGCCTGCTGGCTCCTTACCCATGCACCCTAAAGGAATACTGCCAGTCAGCCTGTACCTAACCCACACAGAGTCCTCCTCAGGAGAGCAGTCTAGCCAAAAATCAGACCATCTCCACAATGGTAGAGGAAGCCTGTGTTGGCTAATGAGTCATTCAGATGTAAATACTAATGAGCAACCAAGATCACCAGGGATGTGAGGAAAATGGATGGCATGAAAGAGAGACTAAGATAATCAGAAAAATTGCTACTGGAGAAAATAGAGCTAATCAGAGAGAACTCATCAAGAAACGAACTCTGATCTACTCAGGGCTGCAGGAAGATACTACACCCATTAAACAAGAATAAGAGAACACAAGTTTTCAGGTCAAAAGGGCACAGCAAGTGCTGAAATAGTGAATCAAATATCATAATATACTACTTTCTTGGGAAGCTGAATTCCAAGGACAAACAAAAGATCCAGAGGAAAGCCATGTACAAAGTGACAAGTACCAGACTGAAATTCAAATCTGTCATCAATAATTCTCTTAATGCTTTAAGACAATAAAACATTACCTACAACTTTTCAAAAGAAAATAATGTATAACCGGGGATTCTGTATCTTGCCAAACTGTTAATCAAAGATTAAGAGCAGACTGAGGTCTTTTTTAGACATACAAGAATTCAAAGGTACCTTCTTTTGGAATTAAATGAGTGAGCGGCGCCTGGCTGGCTCAGTCTGTAGAGCATGCAACTCTTGATGTTGGGGTCATGAGTTCAAGCCCCACATTGGGTGTAAAGCTTACTTTAGATAGATAGATAGATAAATAGATAAGGAATTACACTTTCACCATCAGGTTTCTTAAAAAATAGAAAATTATTGTGTAATATTTCACTAAACATTTTCATCTTGGGGTTTGATTTTTTAAAAAATCTCATTGCTGCCAGAAGGGGAGAGAAAAAAGGGGATAAAGAATTACAGCAAAGTAAGTAGTTGTGGGTTTATACCATAAAATAAATTATAGAGCTACTGTAGCAAACAGTAAGGAGACTAATTCCATAATTTTCCATAGCCCAGGGACCTCAAAAACAGACAATTCAGGACTACTTTTTAATTTCAGTCACAACTGGCTGATACACCATATGGCCAGCAGGAGCAACAGCATCACATTCTTCTCCCATCGTGACTGGAGTGACATGATCTGGCTTATATTTAAAAGCATCATTCTAATGGCTATTGTTGAAAATAGACTTGGGGGTAGAATAGTAGAACAAGGGTAGAAATAAGGAGATCAGTTTGGACATCACTGCAGTATTCCAAGTAAAAGATGACAGTGGCCTCGATGTGGTGGTAATAGTGGAGTTGGCGGAAAGAGGTCAGATTCTGGGTATAATTTGAAGGTAGAGCCAACAACATTTCCTGACTGATTGGATATGGGGTGAGCAAAAAAGGAGTAGAGATTTCTGGTCTGAGCAGTAGGAAAAGAGAAACAGGATGGGGGAAAAGACGGAGCTGTTTCGGATGTTTCAGAAGTCTATTTGACCTCCAAGTAAAGATGTCAGCTACTTGTATTGGCACTTAAATAGATGTGTCTGCAGTTCGGAAGAAAGGTCTGGCTTAGAGATGGAATTTTGGAAGTAGTCAGCATATAAAGTGTATTTAAAGCCATGAGAGTGGGTGAGATCACCTAGGAGTGAATAGAGATAAAGAGATGTGAGGACCGACCTAAGGCACGCTAACACTTCAGGGTCAGGGGGATGAGAAAGAATGATCAGAGATGACTGAGGAGGAGTAGCCAGTGACGTATAAGGAGAACGACAAGAAGATGGTACCCTGGAAGCCATGAAAAGAAAGTGTTTCCAGTAGGAAAGAGTCATTGACTATTCATGCTGCTGAGAGGTCAAGTAGGATGAGCACTAAAAATTCACTGTTGGATTTGGCAACATGGATGTCTGTGTTTACTGTCACAATACCTATTATGTTTTTTCTTTTTTCTTTTATTTTTTTTTTTTAAAGATTTTTATTTATTCATTTGCAGGAGAGACAGAGAGAGAGGAAGCAGGGGGAAAGGCAGAGGGAGAGGGAGAAGCAGACTCCCTGCTTAACAAGGAGCCCAATGCAGGACTCGATCCCAGGACCCTGGGATCATGACCTAAGCTGAAGGCAGACGCTTAACCATCTGAGCCACCCAGGCGCCCCCCATTATGTTTTTTCAAACAGCTAACTTGTTGGGACAAAAATAATGCATTAAGTTGTTTGGACCCAACTACTTAATAAATGAAACTATTGGGTATTTCTTTTGGCCCAGAGACTTTGAAACAATTACTAAGATACTAAGAGAGTCACAAACAGAAAGTTTGAGAATATCTATTTTAAAGGGTCACACTAAGAATTTTAAAAGGGGGAAGCTCCTTTTGCCTTTTCTTTGTCTCTGCTGAAAAGTTTGAGTTAGTAATTTTAAATCTGATCAGATTGCTACAGTGAATAAAATTGCCTTAGTGTGGTTCAATATAAGAAAAAGTAAAACCTTATCCTATGAAATGTCTGCAATACATCTTTGCATGAATTTTTCTTCTTGCCTCCATAGGTATGGTCTGAATATGCGTTGCTTGGCAGCTCGGGTCAACTATAAGACTCTGATTATCATCTGCACACTCTTCACTTTGGTCACAGTACTTTTGTGGAATAAATGTTCCAGCGATAAAGCGATCCAGTTTCCACGGCACTTGAGTAGTGGCTTCAGAGTGGATGGATTAGAAAAAAGAGCAGCAGCATCTGAGAGTAACAACTATGTGAACCACATGGCCAAACAGTCTGAGGAGGCATTCCCTCAGGAACAGCAGAAAGCACCCCCTGTTGTTGGGAGCTTCAACAGCAATGGGGGAAGCAAGGTGTTAGGGCTCAAATATGAAGAAATTGACTGTCTCATAAATGATGAACACACAATTAAAGGGAGACGAGAGGGAAATGAAGTCTTTCTTCCATTCACTTGGGTAGAGAAATATTTTGATGTATATGGAAAGGTGGTTCAATATGATGGCTATGATCGGTTTGAATTCTCTCATAGCTATTCCAAAGTCTATGCACAGAGAGCCCCGTATCACCCTGATGGTGTGTTTATGTCCTTTGAAGGCTACAATGTGGAAGTCCGGGACAGAGTCAAGTGCATAAGTGGGGTTGAAGGTTGGTATCTGTCTGCTCCACTGCATTTTTCTATCCTGATTGTGTTGAGGAGTAACAATTTGTAGGTGTTAATTATCTAGCAAGTACATACACAGCTTACTATCAAGAGTCCAGTTGTCACTCTGACTTAGCAAGGAGGAATAGGTGAAGTCTGAATCTGGGACAGTTTTCTGGATGTTGTGATTTAAGGGCTGCAAGAAGATCATGCCTGATCAAATAGGATTATTCCATTAACCTGCAGCATCTGAAATTCTCACTGGTAAGGTAAAGGCACAGTGTCTCCAAAAATTTTGCATTAAAATATAGTTATTGTCCTATGAGAGGAGATGGAAATGGGAGAGACCAATGGACCAATTGGACTATGTACCAATGCATTCTTGTTACCACATTAACCAGGTATCATTTCTGGATGGAGGTTTAAAGTCCTCAGAACAAGATAACACATAGGCACCATTTTCTCTGAGCATTTATACTACACTCCTATAGTCTATTATATATTGTCTTTCAAATCTTATGGGTATAATCAGTACATTTTAGAATTTGTATTTCAAACCTAAGATTGATCAGAAAGCCAAATTGAATTTGACTTTAAAATATTTAACCAAAGGAAAGAGCTCAGTGTGTTTTAAGATTGCTTAGTTTAAATTTTATTTTATTTTCCTCATTCTATAAAAAGTGATTTCAATATTTTAATATTTTAAGTTTTTTATAATATCTCTACCAAGTGTTCACAAGGAAGAGCCAAATTCACTTATATTCATACCACTTCAAGGTAATTATTACCATTTTTGTATATTCTCTGCACTTCTTTGTATGTAGGCCTTTGTCTTAACATAGTTGAAATGATACTTATACAACATTGTAATACTTATATACTATACTTAGCTGTTCACCAAACCTTTTCACATAAATTTTATAAAATGTATAAAATGTTTATATGTTGTATAAAATATATAAGATGTTTAGATGCTAAAGAAAAAGTAAAAAGTACCCATAACCTTTGTTAAATAATATTTTGATATGTTTTTTCAATCTTTTTGTTGTTGTAGAGACACATTTTTTAAACAAGTTGGGATCATACTGTATGGTCAATTTATATTCTTTTTTCATCTAAACTATCTTGATTATTTCCCCTTGTTATTGAGTATTTATTGACTATTTTAATGACTAGTATGCTTAGTAAGAATATGCCATGGTACATGTAATACTTGCAGCCTTTCTCTTTAGTTGGCTACTTAGGTCATTTCCAGTTTTTTTGCTTTTATACGTAATGGTATAGATATTCATAGTTCATCGTTTGCTATTTTAATTATAGTCTAGGAGTAGTTCCCTAGGAAATAAACTGCCGTGAAAAATAATATAAATTGATCTATTTTGCTAAACTGCTTTCCAAAAAGGTTGAACCTACTTGTGCCTCCAGGAAGGGTGCTCTTGTCACCCCACTCTTGCTGTCATGGAACATTGTTTTTTTAATCTGTTGTTTACAAAGGGATCTCATTTGCTTTCTATAACCATCAGTGAGGCCACATACACTTTTCATATGCTTTCTAATCATCATAAAATCTTGATCTTATTTCCCCTTTTTCTAATGTGATTAGTGGGTTCTTTAAATATTCATGTGAACTTTTCTATATATAGTAAGGATAATGATACTTTGCTGCATTTGTTAAAGATTTTCTTCAGTTTGGTTGTCTTTCATTTTACTTATGATTTGTTTTAGTAGTTTTTAGTTCTATTTACTGAATTTACAGACTTTATTTTTATTTTTTTTCTTCTTTTATGCTTAGAAAGTCATTGCCACGTGATGATCGGCTATTCATCTGTATTTTCTCTAGTAGTTTTATTAGGGTTGTGTTTTTTTTTTACATTCAGCTCTTTAGGCCAGCCAGATTGTTTTATATTTTGGTAAATGGTACAAGGTCAGGGTATAATTTCAGATTTTTCCTTTCACATGTATTGAATGATCTTTTTTCCCCAATGATTCATGATGCAGTCTTTATCGTTACGTTAAGCCATTTTGAATAGCAGAGTATGTTTCTGGCCTCTATTCTTGTTCATTGATCAGTCTGTCAATTCTTAATGCTGGTCGCACATTGTTACAGTTATCACCCATCTTTAATGAGGTCCTATATAAACCTTCCTTTCATTAAGTGAAAATAATTCTATTTGAATGGGGAGGGGAACCTACCCTTGGAGAAAAAAATACAAGTCAAGAGCTTATCTGTAGCCTAGGTTTCTTAGCCCTTATGGTTCCTAAATCCTTAAACTGTTTTGAAACTACACCACACACATGGTTTTGTAGGTTTTAGCTTCTGCTGTGCCTATCTGACGCTTGTTGGTTTATTTTAGAACTCCAGAGAGGAGCTTCTCTCTCAACACATAGACCATGATGCAACAATACAGTATTCTATGCAATGTAATATTATTGTACTTCCCATACAGAAAATTACTAAAACACTAATAACCAAACATTTAAAAGTTTTGCTTAGAACCTTAAAGGGGTAATCCATTAATGAATTATGTCAGAAATTTGTGGTTAAATGTGCAATTTTAATTCATTAAAAAAACACACCTTGTTCTCAAGAATTATATTTTAACATGAAGGATATGAAAAACAATTGCAAGCTGTGTTTATACTTTAAGTTACCTAGTTACAACTGGTTCCTTAAGCACATACTTTAGCCATCACATGGTATAGGTATTAGACCACATCTTGACTTTGGAGAGAGAGATGAGTATGTAATTAACTTGAATGTTAATACAAACATTTAAGAAAATTTCACGATTAATATTTTAGGATGAACCTGTAGTAACATTATCTTCGTGTATTTAAATTGTAAAAAATTTGAATGTATGAAACAGGACATCTATAGCTCTGAGCAAAAGTTACACATAAAAAGTCAATCCTTAAAAGATAATCTACGACATTGCATTGCTGTTAACAAATACTGAGAGTGAAAAAACCTTCATTTTGTTTTTCATATCTGATTTAGTACTAGTTTTTTTAAATAATTAGGAAAACAGTATAATACAGAAGCTTGAAAGTTGCAGATAAGCCTATAATATGCCCCAGAGGTAAAACAGTAAAGAGTGGTGTTCAGAATATACTTGTAAGTGTCCAGACATGGTTATTTATTTTGTTTCTCTATTTTATAGGTGTACCTTTATCTACACAGTGGGGACCTCAAGGCTATTTCTACCCAATCCAGATTGCACAGTATGGGTTAAGTCATTACAGCAAGAATCTAACTGAGAAACCCCCTCACATAGAGGTGTATGAAACAGCAGAAGACAGGGACAGAAACAGCAAGCCTAATGACTGGACCGTGCCAAAGGGGTGCTTTATGGCTAGTGTGGCTGATAAGTCTAGATTCACCAATGTTAAACAGTTCATTGCTCCAGGTAAGTGATGTATTATTATATGTGCCTGTTAATTTTATGTTGATTTATGGCACCTGATACTCCCTTAAAATTGTTTTTATGGTTTTAAAAAGCACATTAGCAGACCCTTTATATCTATATAAAGAAACAAATGGTGTCACTCAAGTGAAATCCCTAGAAAAAGAACAGCTAAAAATTCAAGGTTATAAAAAAAAAAATACTTAAAAAGCCAAACCATAGATTGAATATTAAGATCTCCTTCCAGGGATCTGTGTCCCACAGGAATGATGCTCCTTAGTTCATTTTAGTATTTCAGTACAGTATTTAATTCTTTAACTTTTAAACTATTTTTCTTTAAGGTAGAAATTCTTTATAGAGCATGCCATCCTTTCCTTTGCCTTTTTTTTTTACCAGCAGCTTTTTATTTTTTCAAGATACTATAGCATTAGCAACCAGGCCTGCTTCTCATATTGAGTTTTGTTAATGCAGTAGATTGTCTCAAACTTCATATAAAACCATTTTATTAATAAAATCATTTATAAAATCAAATTAACTTTATGCAACATTTCCCCTTTTAGTAAGACAGTCTCATTAATTAGCTTGTAATATATTTTTCTCCACTAATCAATATCCACGAGAATTAATGAGTCCATTACTTAAAAAGACAATGAAATAATTTTAGTTAGCACCTCAGGCTTAATTCTCTATGGGGAAATGTCAAGAACAGAACTCCTTCCTCCCCACCCCCAACCTTTCAGTCGGTAAATAAAACGAGAGAAAAGGTTATAAGACCTCTTCTGTATTCTCTCCTTGTCCTTTATTGATGACCGTGTAATTCACAGACCTTGAAAGCCACAATACAAATCTACTCATTCTAGATGGCCTTAAGTAATAGATTTATGAGTGCTTAATGCAGTGCAAATAATGGGTGACCTTTAGTTTTTATTCTGTGACTGGAACTTCTTTTCTCCTATGGTATTCTGTGATATTCCAGTACATAGAGCATCTTTGCTTGATTGGTGAGAAAGTATGCGGAGATGTTTAAGAATATGTAGCTTGCAATACCTAAGAGATTATTGTAGCAGAACATGATTAGACTTTGCCAAAGGACATTTGTTTGTACCCAAGGAGCTTATTTTTGCACTAATCAATAATGTTGTCTGGATTAGGGTAGAAAACAGCAGTCCTAAGATCTCCTCAAATGCTGGCAAGTTTTCTAGAACAGTTCTTTGAACTCTATCCTATTTAAAGCAATAGATTTCATTGTGCACTTCTGGATGCCCTGGGTAATACAAAAGATAAGTCTCCTCATACTACGCGAGGGACCCTCACTTTACCTCTTCATTCTGCAGCCCACGGAGATAAAACCACTGCATCTACAACTACTATTGGTGGGAGTGTGCTAACTGGGAATGGGGTGCTTGTTTTGATATCTTGGGCATGCCTAGAGGTGCATTTGATCCAAATGTTTGAGGGCAAGTGGGTTGGAATTACATGGGAGTTGTTGCTCAGAGCAGGAGAAGGGAATCAAAGAGGTGAGACTGTTGTATTGAAGACAGGTATGGGGAGATGAGGCTTTTCAGAGGATGTAGACTTCATGGGAGATAAATTCAGAGAATCGCTGTTGAGAAGAAATTGGAACTGTATATAAAAGCATAGGCCTCAATGAAGTGTCTCTGGAGGACCAGGGGCCAAATGCTGTTGGCCTTTTATTTTTTCTTTTTGGATCTTGAATTGTTTTCCTGAAAGGAAATTAAGTTGTCTAGAAGAAAGAACCAGAACATGGGTTTGCATATTTTTATTCTTTTGTTTGTTGAATAATGTTTTGTTCCTCTGCCTAATTTTAAAATTGAATGAACTGAAACTTTATACCTGTCGTACTCTATTAAATTAAATTAGCTTTCCCTTTCCGGAAGCGCTCTCTCCACTTCATTTCCATGACCTCACTTTCTCCCCTGTCTCTGTGTAGCCATTCTTTCTCAGACTTCTTGTGAGTTCTCTTCTTTTGCCTGGCCCTTATCGCTTGGTATTCCTCAAGGTTCTGAGTAGGGAGGACTTCTCACTGCACCCAGTAAACCTGTTGATTAAAATGAATGAATATTAATGGTTTGTGTTACAGGTGAAAACACTGATTTATGAGACTGTCCTTAAATGTTTATCATCCTTTGTTGCCTAAAGGGACATATACACTACCACATATGCCAAGAATAAACACTTGTAGTGACTCCCAGGTTTAACTGCTCAGAGAGAAAAGGAGTCATGGATTTCAAAAAATGGAAAACCCAAAACTTTCTACTAAGAGATTTAAAGCAGGGGTCTCCAGATAGCATAATACCTTCAGTAGAGCTCAGACCTTGCCTACTACATTTCCAGAGCGGTTGCCACAACCACACTCACATCCCGTTTGCTACCATTTGGATCCTTCTGAGCGATGCTGACTACTTTAACTACTCTGTATATCTAGAAAATGGAAATTAAAAGACTTACAAGATTGTTGTGAAGACTACGATTGTCTGCCGGTTGATTCGTGTCAGGGATTAGGACTTTGTCTCTCCTGTGTGGCTCAGTAACCCCCTCTGGTGGTGATGGGGTTTTAGGAAAATAGTTTTTTTGAAAGGTTATATCCCATGACATAATTTATTACTGAGTTCTTTGAACTAATCTGTTATAGTGAAACATAAGGTAATTGAGACCATATCATTTCATAGATTTGTATTCATAAAGTGAATTAGAATGGAATTCTGGGAGGAAAATAGGTTCAGCTTCCTCCCATTTGGACTAATAAATTTGGATCACTGTTACCCAGTTTCATGAGAATGGATGTCATAGTTAGCAATATTGCCTTATTAATGAGGCATTACCCTAAGAATGAAAAAATAAGGAACACTCAAGATAGCCTTCTCTACTGAATGTAATTGAAACTTGAGCGATTCATCAGTCAATTCAGAATCCTGCAGTGTTTCAGAAATGTATTGAGTGTCAGATTCCATTTTACCGTAGATATAGGAAAATGCTAGTTAAGAGATTGCATATTGACATTTTTCCAGATAAAATGGGTTTTTATTAGAAGTATGCTTCTGAAATCACTTTTTAAAAAGTCACTCAAAGCATCATTTGATGTGTAAGTCTATCAAGATGTTCTCATTCCTTATACAACTTCCATGATTGTTCCATCAAATGGAATCATTAAGGGCCTTGGATCAATTATATCCCAACACTGGTAGAGTCCAGTGTTGGGGGACTTGAACAACCAACTCAACATGCTAAGACTCTCCAGGTCAATCACACTGTATACACTATCATCAGTCCACACTTCGTCCTTGCTCCTGGTGACACACTGAAGATTTCCTCGAGAACTCCTCAAAGTGGATGTGATTCTGTGGCTATGTTTAAGAGAAATAACTCTTCCACCGATTATGCTCATAAGAATGCCATATCCAGTATCATTTCTTTTTTACAGTCTTTGAACTTGGGTCCAGGAATCCTGGTTTCTGGTCCCTTCTCTACCACTAATTAGCATTTGGCTTGGGGCAAACCTTTTAACCTTGCAAAACTTCCATATCTTCATCTCTAAAATGGAAGTAGTAATTCCTGCTCTACCAGCCTCAGATTATTGTAAGGATCATACGAGATAACACATGAGAATGTGTTTCGAAAATATGTTTCATAGAGATCAAGGCATATTTACCTTGAAGGTTATATATAAAATATGCACTACCTATTTGTTGTTGTTGTTCTTGCTGCTGCTGCTGCTGATACGTTTTAATATGCTCTGTTTCTTTTCTTGGTAGATCTAGACCAGCAGTATTCAGAAAGTCAGCTTTCTGGGAATCCACCATCATTGTACTATAGATATGCAAGAGAAATTTCCCATTTGGTAATTTGCCAGACAAAACAGCTGTTACTATTTTATCAGTCTCTGAAAGCCAATGGCTTCAGAATAATAATCATAATCGCTATCAATGTTCACTTTGTTCTAAGCCACTGTCTTTTTTTTAATCCTCCCAATTACCTTGCGAAGTAATATTATCTCTATTCAACATGTGAAGAAACTGAAGTTCAAAGAGCTCTTTCATCTTGAACATCTCAAAGCTAGGAAGTAGAAGAGAAACAATTCAAACAAGGTTTTGTGGGGTTTGGGCTTTTTTTTTTTTTTCTTTCTTTTTTTTTTTCTTTTAACTCCAAAGCCTATGCTTCTCCCTCATCCTCCCCCAGTATCCATCACTTCTTGTTGACTACCTGAGCCCATTACTTAATTTTCAGAAATTTTATTCCCAATTCCAGCAAATATCTGAAAACAAACTGATCATTTTCAGCATCATTTAGTAATTAAGAGTGTGTATTGTGGAGGGGTGCCTGGCTGGCTCAGCCGGGAGAGTGTGCAACTCTTGATCTTGGAGTCAGGAGTTCGAGCCCCACATTGGGTATAGAGATTACAAAAAAAGTAAACAAACTTACCAAAAAAAAGTGTGTATTGTGGAGCCAGACTAGGCAACTTAGGTTCAGCATTTTGTATCATAAATTCCCTGTGTCTCAGTTTGTCAGCCGTAAGGTAAGAGTAATAATAGCACTAGTCTTGTAATTGTTCTGAAGATTAAAATAGAGTTAATATGAGGAATAAATGAGTTAATGTGAGTTAATATAATATATAAATTAGGACATAGTAAATACCTACTAAATGTTAATTAAATAAAAAAAATTTTAATTCATGTGTAATCTAGCTTCTCACAAAATGTGCTGAGCCAATTTTGTTTTTTTTTCTTTTTATAAAATGGATATATTAAAACAGTCATTGATTATTGATCAGCTAGCATTTGATCTAGAAAAGGCAGTTTGATCCACAGTACCTTATCCATTTTCTCTTAACCCTCTAATGTAAATTAGGCCTGATGCTTGAAAGCCATCATGGACTCGTCAATTCTATCATTTGTTTATGGTTACTTTTGTAAAATAATTGATGATGATCATAGGACACAAAATATTGAAGTGTTAATTTTGTGTGGTTAGTGGTTATCAAAGATGAATTGCAATTAACTTTTAATACAAAGAGCTTTTCTTTTAACTAGTCTTTGTTGGTATGTTTTTTCCCCTACAGAAACCAGTGAAGGTGTATCCTTGCAACTGGGGAACACAAAAGATTTTATTATTTCATTTGACCTCAAGTTCTTGACAAATGGAAGTGTGTCCGTGGTTCTAGAGACCACAGAAAAGAATCAGCTCTTCACTGTACATTATGTCTCAAATTCCCAACTAATTGCTTTTAAAGAAAGAGACATATACTATGGCATTGGGCCTAGAACTTCATGGAGCACGGTTACAAGGGACCTGGTCACTGACCTCAGGAAAGGAGTGGGTCTTTCCAACACAAAAGCTGTCAAGCCAACCAAAATAATGCCCAAAAGGGTGGTTAGGTTGATTGCAAAAGGGAAAGGATTCCTCGACAACATTACCATCTCCACCACAGCCCACATGGCCGCATTCTTTGCTGCCAGTGATTGGCTGGTAAGGAACCAGGATGAGAAAGGTGGCTGGCCAATTATGGTGACCCGTAAGTTAGGAGAGGGGTTCAAGTCTTTAGAGCCAGGGTGGTACTCTGCCATGGCCCAAGGGCAAGCCATTTCTACATTAGTCAGGGCCTATCTGTTGACAAAAGACCATTTATTCCTCAGTTCAGCTTTAAGGGCAACAGCCCCTTACAAGTTTCTGTCAGAGCAGCATGGAGTTAAGGCTGTGTTTATGAATAAACATGACTGGTATGAAGAATATCCAACCACACCTAGCTCTTTCGTTTTAAATGGCTTTATGTATTCTTTAATTGGGCTGTATGACTTAAAAGAAACTGCAGGGGAAAAACTTGGGAAAGAAGCAAGGTCCTTGTACGAGCGAGGCATGGAATCTCTTAAAGCCATGCTCCCCTTGTATGACACTGGCTCAGGGACCATCTATGACCTCCGCCACTTCATGCTTGGCATTGCCCCCAACCTGGCCCGCTGGGACTACCACACCACTCACATCAATCAGCTGCAGCTACTCAGCACCATCGATGAGTCCCCAGTCTTCAAAGAATTTGTCAAGAGGTGGAAAAGCTACCTTAAAGGCAGCAGGGCAAAGCACAACTAGAGCTCAGAACCAAAATCATCTTTCAGCCTCTGCCGTACACAAAAACCATGGGCCCTATCTCAGCAGAGCTTAGGCACATTTTAAAAGGTGGTATACTAGGTTTTTGTGGATTACATCGAAGTGATAAACCAGTCTTCTGAGATAATTGCATTCTGTGGGTTGGGTGTTTCGAAACATAGGTGGCATTCGGAGCAGAAAAGTGTTTAGTCGATGGCTGAACAGGGATGTTTAACTTTGTCTTGCTTATTAAATAACGTCTACAGTTCCACAGATGGTCCAGTCCCTCTGGGTCTGGGGAAGACACTGGTAAGTAGCTGCTACTGGCCAACTGTCCGGCACGTACCTGAAAACTTAGTATGGGTCTCTTTTAAAATGTGATGATTTATGTTTATGTTGGAAACAAACTTTAAAAAAATAATGTGCTGTAATACAGTAAATGTGTACTCGCAGCCTGAATAGTGGACTGTGTGCAACTTTATAAAATGATGTTTCTTTTCTACAGATTAATTTCTTGGCGAACTTTGTGTTGCGTTTCTTGAATTTGTTACATATGGAGAATATTTTGAATGTACGGTTTTCTTGAAATGTGTAAATTAACACAACCAGTGTTCAGGCTTCACAGTTATATAACGTAAGCACAACTAAAACAAAACTTGTTGACTGCACAAGAAATCACAAAAATGTTATGTTTTATGAAACTTGATCTACAATCAGTAAAGATTTGATAATCAATGGATCCCTCCCCACCCCCGCTGTGATGGTTTCTTTTTGTCACTGTCTAGAATTCTGTATTTCATTTCAGACTATACTTGAGAGTTTTGTCTATTTTGGGGGACATTTTTGGGACGTTGTGGAAATTTTATTGGAGAAAGGGGCTAATCCATTCCCACTACCCTTTCAGGATTTTTTTTTTTCCCTCTTTAAAGAAAAATACTATGTCAGATACTACACACAAGAATCATGGCAGGTTTTTTCCCTACTTTTGGATCATTCTTGGTCATCAACTTTCCAGACCATTGACTCTGCATATGAGTGTTTTTCCTTTGCAATTTTAATTTTAAATTATTTCAGCTCTTGGATAGAAGTGATTGATGCTACTGCATTTGCTGTATGTGTGTAACCAGACCTTTATTTGGGTTTTCTATCCCACTATACCTTACCTCACATAAATAGGTTTCACAACCCTTGTACCCTGGGCAGTGTCTGCGGTAGGGCTTCAGGCATTATCAGAATCAAGCGAGGTTGATTTTGTTGTTTTTGTTGAATGTATGACAGTACACTAAATGAGTACTGTAACTTACACAGATTGAAATATGAGACCCCACACTTTCAGGAGACTGAGTCTGACAAACACGTCACAGTTTGTGACCTGTATTAAATGCACATCAAGAGCCGCGTGGGCACTTGCCTACATACTGCATCTTAAATCGAACTCAGCCTACTGACACTACTTAGAAACCAGAAACTATATACACATCTATGAATAGAATAAACATGCAAAATATATATGTTAGTGGCAAAGGGAGCAGGAGCAGAGAGGACAATATAGATGTACACTGAAGACAGTAGTAAACCGGCCACGGAAAAGGAAGCTTAAACTCCCAAGTTACATGACCACAGCTCTCTTCCTCCCACAACACAACAGTTGTGGGTTATTAAGCTTCCCCCTGGCTTTTGACCTTTGTCGTTCTTAGACATGATTAGATGTCTCCACAAGAATATCTGGACTCCCTTTTTTTATTTCAGTGCCCCAACATAAACTTTCTCCAGTTGGGAAACCCTTTGCCCTTCATCTTGGTTGTTATTACTGAGAGCGGTCCAGACTTCTGCCTTGTGTTTGCATACTGGTCCTTCAGACTAAGGGATTCCATGAAAACAGCATGGTACTGCTTCCGCGACAAATATCAGTGCCTTAACAATGTGGCTGTCCTTTTCCACTGAAAAAGGAAAGACATTTTGATCTAGAAATGGCATTGCTGTTTCACTGCTGTTGGTTTCACACTGCCTTCCACGTTGCAACAGCAACTTGATTTTTCTTGTGATCCCAGAATTTTCTAAGAGGATGAGTTGAACCTGTGGCAGCTCCACCAGCGTGGTTCTCCGGCTTTCGGGTGCCTCCGAATCACCTGGGAGCTTCCTGAGCGACAGATGCCGACAGTCACTAAGTCTGCCTGGGAAGCAGGATAGTCTGCATATTTAACAAGCATTCAGATCTTTCTGGTGCAGGTGATCTGCAGGGCAGACGTGGAGGAGCACTGCCCAAGACCATCAATTGCATTTTTGTTCCAAAACACCTACAGCGTTCTTTATAGGTTTTTAAATCATGTAAAATGTTTACTTATTCTGAGCTTAGAGAGAATGGGGAAGGTATTTTAAAGTTTTATTTTGTTTTGTTTCTTTAAATTTTTCTTTGTTTCCAGATAATGAGTATTCGTTTTTTACACTTGAGTTAGCTTTGATGTTAAATTAAATCTGTTGCCACTTCGGTTGTAAAACCAGCCAGAAGTTTCCAGATAAAGGTCAAGTTTGACCCTTTGGGATTGTTGTACATAAAGGCTTCATCCAAAAAGCATCCAGTGTACGTGAGCAGATACAGAAATGGCCCGAGCCCAGCTCCAGACGTGGCAGTCCTTTCCTTCGCCCGGCGCGGACTCTGGCCGCAAGCTGCTGTCCTCTTCCTTGTTGCAATTGTTGTTCTTGTTCCTCCTCCATTGTACATGTGGGTTAGAGACCATGTGTCAAATATGCAATAAAGTGTTTACTGGATGCCCTTCTGAAGGGTGGTCCTTTGTAAAGCTGTACAGACTTTGGGGTTTAAGCACAATGTGCACATGTTAGTTTTCTATACAGCAAAACTTGATTTTTTGCAGATGGAAAGGTATTTTGTTTCTATACAAAGTAAATGGATTGTTTGTGCTTCATGTAAAGCTGCTTTATAAAATTGTAAAATAAAGTTTTTATCTTAAAAAGGAATATACCTGGATATTTGTTCCTTCTCTAATCTCAGATTTTTTTTTTTTTTTTTGTGCCCAGCAAGTGGATTTCTGACCATTTTCTGTTCAACCGGTGACAGCTAGTCAGGCGACAGATGTTCACGAGAGGTGTATGAGGCCCTGTAAGACAAAGTGGGGAAGAAACTGTCACGTGGGCCTCACCCCGGGAGGTGTAAGGTACATGGGGACACGGTGTCCACAGAACAGTTTCGGAAAGATAAAATGCCAAATCGTGTGGTCAGTCAGGGAAGGTATTGTAGAGGAGACAGAGCCTAAGTGGGGCCCTCAGGCCCGGGGACCAGGTAGAAGAAGAGGAGGGGTAACAGGAGCAAAAACAGCGCATGGCAGCTGTGAGGGTGCCCTTTCCAGGCTCATTCAGACTGGTCACCATTTTTGTCTGATTCTGATTTATTTGGAAGTTTGTCCTTCCTGGATTTTCTATACTTGTCTCTTCTCCAGATCAATAAGCATTGTTTAATCCTTTTCCCCCTCTTCTTCTCCGAGAGTAATGATAGAGGCTCCCCAAATGCATATAAAACCAGAGACCAGTCTGGGTTTATGTTGTGTTTCCTTGCCCATCATTTTTGGGGTTATAGGCATTCTGCACCGTTTGTATAATGGAATTTCAATGGGTCACCAGTCAACTTCTTCTAGCTGATGTGTGCGCATATTTTGTCAACATCCTTGGTGTCTCTTTTTTGTCTCTCCTCAGTCGGGAAACAGCCATAGGTTGCAAGCAGTTCTGGGTCTGGATGAGGTCTCAGTCTGCTCTTGCTTTGATTTTGCTGTTTATAACCAAACCGTTAACACACTGGCCATTCCGCTGTAGCACACGAAACCTCAGATATTTGCCTCCCCGTTGCCCTTGAGACGGGACAGACCCTCCCTGGCACGGAGGACTTATTCCACAGTCTGATGAGCTCTTCTTTCCTGAGAATGCCTCCTCCCCGCAGGGCCCTGACAGCTGATGTGTGCCCTGTGACCCTGCCGCCTCTAGCAGGACCATGGGGCGAGGGGTGAGTCCCTCACTCAAGCTGGGCCAGTGAGTCTCTTCCCCAGGAATCCGAAATTGGGATAGATTAGAAAACTGAAGCAGATACACTGTGAAAAGCAGAGATGAAAACAATCTTGACAGAGCTCCAGGCCCTGGATCCAGTGCATTTCTGAGGCCAGCTGCGTCCCTCCAGTGTCGCGAGCTACCACTGTATCCTTAGGATGCATTCCTTATGTGTGCTTAAGTTGGCTGGATTTGATTTCCGTTACTTAGAATAACAAGCCCTGATTAATAACACAATGTCCGCGTTACAGAGAAATGTATAATGTAAATTCTACATTACATGCATTTTCCTCCAGTCTGGACCACTGTATTTCCTAGGGCTGCCATAACAAAATACCACAGACTAAGGGGCTTAAGTAACAGAAATTTATTTTCTCACGTCTCTGGAGCCTAAATCCAAAATCAAGGTGTCAATACGTTTGGTTTCTTTTTTTTTTTTTTTTAAAATTTTTTTTTTTTTTTTTGAGAGAGAGAGAATGAGAGAGAGCACGAGAGGGAAGAGGGTCAGAGGGAGAAGCAGACTCCCCGCTGAGCGGGGAGCCCGATGCGGGACTCGATCCCGGGACCCCAGGATCATGACCTGAGCCGAAGGCAGTTGCTGAACCGACTCAGCCACCCAGGCGCCCAATACATTTGGTTTCTTCCGAAGCCTCTTGGCTTGTAGACGGCTGCCTTGCTTTGTCCTTACATGGATTCGCCCCTCTGTGTGTTGTCTGTGTCCTAGTCTCTTCTTATACAGACACCCGTCATATTGAATTCAGCCCCATTCATATGACCTCATTTCACCTTAATTACCTTTTCAAAGGTCCTATCTCCAAACACAGTCACAACCTGAAGTCCCAGAGGTTAGGACTTCAACATGGACTTTAGGGGAAGCACACAATCAGCTCATAACAACCACTCTTCACTCTTAAGTGCAGAGAAATGGAATGAGCCAGGGATGCCATTTAATTAGTTGATAACCAGCCAAGGCCAAAACTCTGAGAACTTCAGGGAACATTAGGTGGACAGAAATTTATACTTGAGACTCAGGAGACAGGGCTCCCTGGCTCTCAACTCCTGTCTCGTAATACAGTCCAATAAGAGAGACTAATCAATCTTCAAGTTTTTTATAAACTAATAAAAGGTAACCACTAAACTTAAGCAGTGGTGTTAAAAAAAAAAAAAAAATACACAGACCCCAACATCAGCTGCTAGATTCTTATTCTTCCTACCCTGTGCCATTCCCATTAGCCCATTCTGAATACAGAACCCTGAGGTATTAAAAACATAGGTATAGAGTGTATCAAAATTGCAAGTTGTAGTGAGATTTGTTTAATGACAACTTTTAAAAAATCTCAAATCTGCATTATTGTAACTGTTAAAAATAGTTAACAATATGGGGATAAAATACTGCTTTTCATTATACCAACCAACCAAAGATGTCAAATTGAAAATGGATGTGAATTTAAATGTATTGGTGACGAATTTGAATGTTCGCTGCTCACTTTCTGGTGAAAAGAGCTACATTTGCCATCTGGTGAGCACGATTGGTAACGTGTGTGTGTGTGTGCGCGCGCGCGCTGCATTTCCTGAATGCTAAGTAGCAGCAACACTGTAATTTTGCTAATCCTTTTCCAGGAGGAGGATTTTGGGAAATGGCAGGGCTGCAAAGCACACCAAGGAGGAGCCGTAGCAAAGAGAA